GTCTACATAAAATGTAGCTGAAGTTCATGAAGTATCCAGGACACTGCTTTTGTGATCAATAACCACTCCCAAGGCTCAGACTGTATTGTTATACGTCTATATGTATTAAGAGTTTTGTTCAAGTTCACTTTACTATATGCTGTGGAAAAAAAGCTAACAAAAACACAAGTGCATTCAGAGAGTTGGCAGGAACCAGGTATGAAGGTATTTTTACTGTAATAGTTAAAGATGGCATCACAATTCTGTCAGATACAGGTAAATGCATCTGGTGGGCCACACAGAGAATATTTTTAATGGTCTAAATGTTGCAGAGACCAGCAGAAAAGCCACAGTAAACATCTCCCAACTCCATCATCTGTCAGAAACATTCATGATATACCAGAACTCATACAGAGTTGAAAGAAAACTCACACTCTTGTCTTGGGGATAAATCTTAATATGTGAGCCTGAATGTCTCCCAGAGAGCTATCTTCCAGGTTTGACTTAGTAAAGTCAGCATAAAGTATTCGTTCCATAAGTGCAATATCATCATGCCATGGGCTAAATTTCCATCATCATCAAAGAGAAATTTCATCAGAAATACTGCAGCATACGCATGTTAAACATTAAAAGCTCAACATAACCATGTGAAAACAACAACAGACACTTAAGAGTCCAGCTTATTGCTAGTTTACCCTAATGTTCCCACAAGCTACATAAACATGAACTGTTGAAACACTTTTTAAGGCTTCAAAAAAAATGATTTTTTGATTTTTATTTTAATCACGCTATGTTGCATCCAGTTACCCTGTCTTTCGCGGGTCGTCACCCGAGTTGCTCCGTGGTTGCCTGTCAACTACACCAGCATTTACATTATATAATGCAGTCCAACACTGCAGCTGATGATATTACATAGCCAGAGTTAATGAGGCAGATAAATTAGCAGAGGGCTGTGACGCCTCGGGGCAGATCTCTGACAGGAACATATATAGAAGCCAGTGATCAGATAAATTGGTATTCAGGTTCATATTGTAACAACACACACACACGCACACACACACACAAACATACATACATATATAAGGATGGAAGCAGCAGCTGACCTGATGCTCTTGGTTAATAGGTCAAACAATACTATTCCAGAGCAGTAACGATGAGGAATTGTGCAGTCTGTTATGGCTGGACAGTACATGCAGATTTCAGCCAAGAGGAAACCAAGCGTTCCCTGGTGCATGCTGGGACACATCAACCTGTGTGTGTCTGGAAGGGATGTCTGTGTGTACTGGTTTGTTTTTTCAGTGACTGGAAGAAGCTTTTGAAAGTGTGTGCTGTTCTTTGGACGTTTGTTTTGGAGATTGGTCTCTTATCTGATCGTTTGTGTGTGTCTGTCTGGTTTTGAGCGCATTTGTGTATTATTCTGTCTGTGCAAGTGTAGAAGACTCCAGTACCATGTAAAGACGAAGGCTCGCGGTCTTGAGCTCAGCACATTTTTAGTACTTCCCCTGAGACTGCTTATGTCAGGACTGTCTGTGTAGTCTACACCACTGGCTTTCAAAGTCTGATAGTGACAACTTCCCTCAAACAAAATGACACACCTGCATCCTCCAGACACAGCTTTGCATTATTTTAGGTTTGTGTCTATACGGTCACACTGGTTTCACGGGGATAAGCTATGAGAATGTCAGTGTTACAAATATATAAGCACCACATTGATAGGACATTCTCGACTAAAGTAAAATTCAAACAATGATAGTGCAGCATGAGAACAACTGAAGGGATTAAGCTTCAAGTTTGAAACTACAGTTCCCACAATCCTAACCTGCAGGCACTAATGCAGCCCATTCATTTTCAGCTCATATTTGCTCACATTTTGGCAAATGGGCATTGCTAAAATAATACCAAGTTCAGTATGAGGAATTCCTGATTGCAAAGTATTTAGACACAACTACTTGGTGATTGTTCTGAGCTAGGTTGCACTATGGGGATAGTTCCATGATCAGCAATTCATGCAACAGTAGGAAGTGTGATAACCTACCCTGGTCTATCCTATCACGTGTTTCAACTTGAATTCAAGCAAACTGTATGTGCTCTTTTTGTTACTCTTTACAAAAACGCCCCATAAAAAAATCCAGTATCAGCTGAGCTCCATCATGTGGGTGTGTTCAGATATGAGTGAGTTAGTACACTGAGCATTCACATGACAGCACTATGGGTTTTTAAAATACTGGAACTGCTTCATTAGCTGCGTGTCACAGCTGGGTCCAGCTGTTAAAACGGTTCCAAATCCTAATAAGGAGGGCAAATCAGACCTCAGATGTCTGAGAACATGTAGTCTATATTGTACAGTACATGTAGGTCTGAATATAACGTTGTTTCCTTCTATTTGTATGTTGAGCTGCACTCCTCTGTCTGACTGGTGGTTAGAAGACAACTACCGAGGTACTCCTGAGTCATTTTTCTATTTTTGCAGCTGCTACTGCTGAGTGAACCTCTCACGGTGGTTTGTTCTCATTATCTCTGGCAAACAAGACGCAAAACATGACCTTGTGTACTCCTCTCCATCACATGTTCTTCTCCCTTGAAATCACACTTCACTGCATAGGCTGATAAATTACTTTCAACAACTGTTTGTGAACAGATTTCTCAATGTTCCATCTTAAATAAATCAATTTTGCAGTGGAGCTAAAGTCTGATATTCGGGACTGACTGCAGCAGGTGCCGGCAGCAAGTCAAAAAAAAGAAAATCTCTCTCTTTTATTACGTATGAAAGTTCAATTTTTGCATGACTACTGTCATGCATCTGCCAATATTATGCAATTATCTTGGAATCATCAACCAGACTTTGCTTTAGGATGAAGATTATTTCTGCAGTGTAATTTAAAATGTATTCAACCCGGTGCTATCCATTTGCCTCAACCTTTGCAGCAGAGCATGCTTAAAGGTAAATGGACCAATTACAACCATGGAAAGGATGGCAGAATCTTCCTAATAGCTCTGCTGTAATGACACACGGCATTGTGATGTCACCAAAACATTACTAGAGCTACTTGGCTATCAATCAGCCCCGCTAGGTCTCCGCTGAGAATTGTGAATGCGCTGATAAGGCGACCCACATGCATAAAAGATCACAACAAACCTAAATTAGTTCTTCTCGAGCTTATTTGCCTTCAGGCTTTTTGAGTAATCACCACCTTTCAAGTCAATCACAAATCCTCCTGCGAGGCTTTTTAACTAGGACAGTGACTGAGTGTGACGTGCCTGTGATATATACCTTTTAACAACAAAGACAGCAGCACATTACTGGAGCAAAATAATGGAACGTGACTGTAAACACTGACTTTTCAGTTCCTCCGTAGGAAATCATTTAATCAACACTTTATGAGCTGTTTGAATAATTCACTGTTTTGAAGTGATTTTTTAAGGACATGGTCAAAAGTAAATTACGTGTTTCTAATTCAGGTGCTTTCAAATGTGAGCAGAGACTGTTCAAGCAAAATGGAAAGACATGATTAACCACTTCAATGTCGACTCCTGGCCTATTTGAGTTTGACCTTATGTCGTCACTTTTTTCCCGTCGTTTGTTTCTGGAGACAGAGTGACCACATTTGGATCAGAGTGGAGTGAGACGTTATCAGCTAGCAAGCGACTTTGGTTGGCAAAAAAGCCTCCATAGACTACATAGAAGTACCATTTAAACATGGGAAACTAGTGCTACTGATGTGGGGGGGAAAGCTGAGAAAAAAAAGGAGGGTGAGCTTTTACTGTTGTGGCCTGGAATAAGTTGCCCCAGGCTGCACTTTTTCTTCCATTAAAAACACCTTTTCTCCAGTACTTTCAAGATTAATACCAGAGTTAGCTTCTAGTCAGTTTTAAGTCACTTTTTAATCTTTTTTGTTAGACTTTTTATTTATTGTAAATTTAATGTTTTTATTTGTATTCTTCCATGTTTTATTGCTATTTTGTCATGGTCCTGTGTCTGTTGACTCAGGGCTTTTGTATTAATGACTCTTATCTTGTGTTCTGGTTATGTATTCTGTTAAGGTTTTCCTAATTAGATTTTGGTTTTGTGCTCCCTCTCTTTAGTGTCGAGTCATCCCGTCCCATGTGTTTCCTCTGTTCGCTGTCTGCGTATATTTCCTGTTTTACTTTGAAGGTCTGTGTCTCTTGTCTCGTCATGTCAATTAGGATCACCTGTGCCTCGCTCCTGTTTTGCCATTCCTCATTCCCCTCCATCTGTACTTATAGTGTGTGTTTTCCTGTGCTGGTTGTCGGTTCGTCTGCGTTAGTTGGTGTTTCTCCGCGTCTCTCTGCCCTCATCCAGTGTTTCTCCCTGTTTGTTCTGTGTTTCTCCCTGTATGTTGCATGTTCCAGGTTTATTAGTTTTTCCCAGTTTAGGTTCATTTCTTAGTGCTGTCCTTACCACCCTCGCTTTTGTTTGTGCTTCACCCATTGTAAATAAAACCCTCACTTGCATCAAGCCAGTACCTGCATTTTGGGTCCTTTTCTCCCACATACCACACGACCTCTGCCGCAGCTGTGACATATTTATTTTTTTCTAATATGTGTTTTTAAAGTGCTTTAAGAATAGTTGGACTGGATTGGAATGAATTAGGTTTGGGCAATCTGTTGTTGCAGCACAGAAAACTAAATTATTTGTCAACTTATTTCAATAAAAGTGACCAACAGCACAGAATGAGGGTCCAATTCAGAGACTTGAATTATCTATTTAAACTGGCCATGACCAGTTACCAGTTAACAGCTGGTTAAAGGTATCAAGACCTTCATGTAATATCGTGTAATATAAAAATTTACAGTAGTCAAGAAACCAAATGCAAAACAGTTTTTGTACAATCTTGTAAAAGTTTTCATTTTTGCTTCTTGAGAATGCAAACATAAGACTTTGACACCTTTGGGTTATGAACTGGTGGTTATCTTTTGGTTTTATCTTGTGGAAATCACTACAAATTTAGAAAAGACACCCTGCCGCACTAGCACACAGGCACTCAATTATTGCTGCTGACCTTTAAAGCTGATACTGGCAATCATGCTTCCTGGAGGGTTAATGTGCTGATCCAGTCGAATAACCAGCTGCTATGAACATCCTCTGCTGGCCAACAGGATTCCAGTTCCCCAGTCTGCCTCCTGACCCTGCAGCCCCTGATCTGTGATCACCTGCCAGGACTGTTTCCAGTAAGGCAGAGAGACCGGCCAGACTGGTGTGACTTCTCCCCCACAGTGTCTGGTCTAATGACACAGATAAGATGGCACACACACATAAACACACAAGCAAATACATATGTTTAAGTCTATCCCATCAAAAGTCTGCAAAGGAGAAGAGAATTAGCCAATAGCAAACGTGGGTCTGTACAAGGAGCTGCATGAGGAAAAGTTTCTGTTTGTCAATGATAAATTTACAAGCTCAGTGTGTGTGTGTGTGTGTGTGTGTGTGTGTGTGTGTGTGTGTGTGTGTGTGTCACATGCGTGAGGCTTTTTCTTCCCAGTTTTCCGGAAGTCTCCTGGAGCCTCCCACTGCTGTGGGCCCCAGCAGATGACTTCTTATTGTGGGTTTGGAGCCTCAGAGCAATTAGATGAGTTTATGGTAAGCACTAAGAAGCGGAGAACCTTGTCATTCTGTCAGAGCCGATTTCCCCTTCGCGCTAAACACCGACCTCTCCGGGCTGCCAAGGGTGGACGCGGGCCACAGCAGAGATTTAAAAACAACAAAAAAAGGATGTTTTTGAAACCCTGGAGTCAATCAACTTTTACTTCCTGTAGCTGCATTTTGTTGCTAGGTGATTTCAAAAGGCAAAACATGCCTGCTGCTTGCTGAGGGCAGCTGTATTTAATACTTGGTAACAACATTAAGATACAAATTATATGTGCACCAAAATGCACGCATGAATTAAGGAGCATCAGCTGCGGTGAACCACAGCCTGCTGTCATTTTTACTGTGTCTATCATCATATAATCCAAGTATTGTGCAAGGGTGTAGGTATTCACAGGCTGCACAGGGAGTCTGTATAAACATACAGCAGCTTCAAAAGAACCCAACAGAGGCAATATAGGATCAGATAAAGGTGAGGTATTTGGCCACAGATTGACACAGGAGTGAAATTCGAAAATTCTTTCCACAGGGAAAGTGAAAACATTATACACAATAGGAGCACTAGCATAGCATTCTCTACATGAATGTAAAAGAAAAAAAAATGCAGCACCTCCCCATGCAGTCCCCAGAGCATTTCCCAACACTGTTGATGTCTTTTTTCCAAGTGCAGTGCCAACAAAATACTTCATCTGCTCCACCTCAGAGGCCTGTGTATCCTCCTGAGCCTCTCTACGAGATTCACCTCTTTACCAAAGCATTTGCTGGAAAACCAAATAAACACAGTTGCACAATGGAAAGGGGGGTCTTATGTAACTAACACTGGCCATGCCGTGGCCCAAATGTAACAATTTTCACGGCTCTGAACTTGAACACCTTCTCTTGCACACACAAGGATGCGTACACACACACACACACACACACTGCCCCATAGGAAGCTAACCAGCTATGTAGCGTGTAGTGCTTTTCTTTTCTTTTCTATCTGCAGGGATTATTGAGAAATAACAGTAGGTGGGCAGACCTATGTGAGCAGAGACAGCTAATGCGGATTTTACGTAAAGAACAATGAGGTGCAGACCCATTCACAACAAGCTAATATTCAATATACCAGGGGGTTACTGCTAAACTTTACTGTGCACATAAAATCTCCTTCCAGTCACATTCATCTTTTCAGCATCTAATAATATGTTTTCTCTTTGGTGGACCCCAGCATAAAGTTATGAGATGAAGTGGTCATGGCAACATTTGTTGTTTACTGACTGCTTTTAAACATTTTTACATCTTCCTTATGGACCCGTGTGAAATATATTGATGCTGGCTCCAACCCCTACTTAAACCATTCTTGATGTTAATTGGGTGTTTTATGCAATGACACAATACCTCACATACTTCAGTGCTTGAGACCAGACTGATAAGAGTTTACTTTCTAGAATTAACATAAGAGACTTTAGGAGGAACACCAGTTAAACTCACAACATACAATACTTCATGTTGTATTGTCTTGCACATAACTGTGGCTGTTGTATAAGGCGATACAATCAGTGTGACTACGCAATCAAGGCCGTGTCATTAACATCCGCCCAGCCTGACAACAGAAAGGGGTCTAAATGTAAAGAGCACTTTATCTGACAGTGTAAGGTTTAATAATTGTAGCAAGAAATAAAATGTCCTTCATTTTTTAAATATGAAATAAAAAATAAACAAGAATCCATCGTATTCAAAGATTTTCAATTCTACAAGAAAGATTCCCCCGATTTGAGAAGCCGACAATTAGAAAATGTTTGGCAGAAAAATAATTTAATGAGTCAATTATTTGCTAACTGTCTGGATTATTCGACAAATCATTTCAGCAGTGACACAGTTTGGCTGCCGCTGCGAGTGCTGTGTGTGTGAAGGGTAACATAGAAGAAGAGTGTGTTTTCAGTATGATCCTTGGCGTGAGAACTGACTGAAAGCGGACATCACACCACACTGTGACAGCTGAGGGCAGACAGAAGAGGCAACACACATCTCGTCACTCTCCACACCAATCACGCACATACAAATTCTCACCATCATACACATGTGGTAAATGGACTGGTTCTTATATAGCGCTTTTCTACTCTTTCTGAGCACTCAAAGCTTTATACAACTAATACATTTACACCCATTCACACAAGCACTTTTTTCTGAGTATTAAGTGCTAAGTATCTACCATTCATACACATTCACACTCCGATGAACGCATCAGAGAGCAACATGGGGTTAGTATCTTGCCCAAGGATATTTGGCATGCAGACTGGAGCAGCCTGGGATCGAACCACCAACCTCTGGTTAGTGGCTGACCTGCTCTGCCACATGAGCTACAGCCACACATGTGAATACACGCATATACAGACAGTTAGGTCCATAATCGTTTGGAAAAAGACGCAATTGAAGTATTTCTGTCTTTCTACACTATCAGGGTGGATTTTAAACATTCATTAAGCGATTAAAGTGCAGGATTTCAGCTTTAATTCAAAGCCTTTACCAAAAGTTTGCACTAACTTTTATACGTGCTCTCCGATCGTCAGAGGCTGAAAACTAAATGGACAATTGTTCCCTTGTGACAAATGAAGCAGATATGATATCTGAAGGTGTTTGTATTTTATAGCTTTTCACTGTAATTGACAATAAAAGGCCTGAAGAGATGTTAGCACAAGAGACAAACAAAGTAAACATAGCAAAAACTTTAGGAGTGGCCAAATTAACAATCTGGAATGCACCGGCCAGCTCAGCAACACCAAAAGGTCGTCTAGATCACAGAAGACAGCTGAAGTGGATGATGACAGAATTATTTCCATGGTTAAAAAACAGAACTAAAACCATTTAGCCAAGTCAAGAACACTTTTAGAGGAGGTAGGCGCAGTATCTTTGTCAAGGTCAAGAGGCACCCTCATGAATTAAAATACAGACAGTTTACAACTGGGTGTAAACTCTAGGCTAACTAAACTGAGACAGATTTGCTACTAGTATTCATTCGTTTATTTTTAGACTGGGAGGGGATGTTCACATGTAGGCCTCTGCGTAGCCTTGTGGTATATGGGTTATCTATATAACTCATAGGTGCGCTATAGGAGCACTCTTGCTACTACTTGTTTAACCTAATTTGCACAGATTACACAGATTTCTCACACACAAAGGTGCAGTATGTGAACATGTCCAAAAAAAGGAGAAAGAAACTGCAGCCAGACATTACCACACATTACCAGACGTTAAATCAAGCATCTATGAAAATACATAGTTAAGAACTGTTAATGATTATTTTGGCTGAGAAATCTTCTTCAAGTCTGTGCACTCCTCTTTTCAATTACATAAATGCAAGATGACATCAGAGGTGTTGGCAGAAACAGTGACTGCGACTGTTTAGTAAACCAGTGAACATGAAGGTGAGTACAGACATGCTTTTAGCCCCGAGCCACAGGACTACGATCAAACTTGTGCTCCAGAAATTGAGCTTTACAGAGTACTTCTTTCAAACCTAGGGATGAATGGCATTTTCTAAAGTGGGAAATTTCTATTCTTTAAGACATTTTTTCTGTAGAAAAGTTTGTTAATGAAAACTACATGGTTTGAAAAGGAACTTTGCATCCTTGTTTACCTTACACTGGGACCTGATATGACCCTTCAGTTTATCCATTATCAGAAAAAAAAAACAACCTTTTTTCTACTTTTAATTCATTACTTTTCTGATTGGATGCCCCTTGTAAACAAAAGGTTTGAATAAGAATTGGATGGCGCTTCAGTGCCCACATCCACAGACGTGAGCTATGTGTGTATGACCGTATTAGAGATATCTGTTCTCAATTACATGCAAGAGTAAACTTAAACTCTTAAGTGTTTGAAACAGGATGGATGACTTACACATTTGAGGACTTTATTAGAATTTTTGACAATTTAATGTAATGTAATATAAACATCCACTAATGTATCTATAGGATAGAAAACACAGATAAATGCAGCATGTATAATAGCAGCACAAAGAATAGATAAAACTCAAACACGCAGTGTGAGAGTTAACAGCCGATCTCACCCATCATGTCCTCTACCCTCCTACCCTCTCCTGACTCACCCGTGTTCGGCAGACACCAGCGTATCACCTCCTCTGTCTGAGAATAAATGCACACGGTATAATCATGTTTACTTGAATAAAGACAAATAATAAGAATTCATGCAGACCACCAAGCAGGAAACAGCATTTACTGTCTGCTTCAGTCACTCTAGCCTTTATACAGCTAGTGCATGACCTGGAATGCACTGTGCATATGATTAACTAAAGAAAGAAGCTGAAATTGGAGGTGAACCTATACTCTAATTATCAGCTGAGGCCTTTCCTTTAAGAAACATTTCTGTAATTTAGATTCTTTGCTGTGCTAGCTTTCTGGCCTGAGTATGTCAGAAACGGGACTAGCAGCACCTAGCCACAGTTATTGCGAAGAGCTCAATTCAAAAAGAAAAAGATTCGTGCTACCAGTCTTATTTTTCCAGCATATCTATGTGACATCCTGATATTATGCAGTACTGTGCAGAATCCTTGAAGCACACTTCATTTCTATATATTTTGCTAGAGAAACGGGAAAGGCGTATAATGTTGCAGCATTGGCATTGAGCTTGAGATCATTTTCATCTTGAAAAATTAAGTTGTTAATCAGATGGCTAAAGACCCTTGCTGATGTATTTCTCTCCTGACCTCCTTTGCACATATTGGTGATGAATTGAACCAAAATTTCCCAATTTGGATTCAATACTCCACAAGACCTGTTGATTTTCAGTTATGCTCTTGTGTAATTTGGCATTCCTCTGGCTTTACCCTGTGTCTTTTCATTAAAAATGGCTTTCTTGAATAATAGATTTACTGAATGAAGGGCCAGATGCATCTCTTTGCTGGATTTTTATCCATTTCTTAAGAACAAGACTTTCAGATGCTGTTCATCTGCTGAAGATGCACAAGGTTTTTTCTTTATGCCTGGCACGTCTTCTTGACGTGCTGGTGCTATAATGTTATTTTATGCCTGTAATACTGTCTTACCTTTGACATGATCCCATGAAATTGGTGTTTATGTTTAAATGATTCATAGGTCAGTGACTTAACAATTTAAAAGGATCCCTTGAAACTGTTCAGATACAAGACTGGACTGAAAATAAGGGGAAAAAAACAGCCAAAGTCCAAAGAAAAAAAAAAACATATTTTTAAGACCACTTTAAAAATTACACCGATATAGCAGCTTGGAAGCAAAATACAAAGGAATAAGGTGTAACGCAAGACTTTTTGGACGGTACAGTAATGTCAACCAAAAAAGGATCAAACACTCATAGTGAAAGGCCAAAGCAGATTCAGCTAACTGAAGTCCAATGGTAATGCAGATCTACTTTAAGCAAATCGTTTGTGAAATACATAAATTATTACCAATTAATTCTGACACCCTAAACCTCTGTGGCTCTAAGCAGACTTTTGATATTGTCTCATGGTTGGAATGGAATCACGTGAACTCACTGGCTGACAGCATTTCTGCTCAGAAAGCATCCAGTGCATAATGAATGTCATCTTCTTGAATCCTCTAATTAACTGCATCATTAGATTGGCATCCACTTACTTTAAATTGCTCACACAATTGAGGAGTGTCATGCAATTCCTCTTTTGGGAATAGGAGTGGTGATGGTATCATTCTACTCAGAAACATGACAATAAGGCACAGCAACAGGGCCACATATTGTTCAAATGCTGAGATTATCTCATTACATCGGCCAAGATTCACTCGCTGTTAAATTCAATTTCTAGTATGCCTTGTACGGCGGCACAATTAAAAAGTATTCTGCAAACCGCATTAGTCAGACTAAATAATGGAGACCAAAAAAGTGCTAACTCAGAGAGGGCGGCTCTGGAGGAAAAAGGGCGCCTGAGATATATCACTTTCATCAAAGACCAATGGGCGGGCCTTTCCAAAGAGGCAGAGAGCAGGAGAAGTTCATACAGAGACAGAAGTATTTGTTCCAGGCTGTGACGGATGAACCAAAAATTAAGCGAAGACACGTGAAGCATTCATCATTGACAGAGTGATGATTATCATCAGTTTATGATTAGCGAACATTTCAACAAGTGCAAAGATGCATTCCTGTTCAGTCGTGGATCTTCCATACAAATCTCCAGCAGTAATACATGTTTGTTGTGGAAAAAAGAAAAAAAAAAAAAAAAAAAAAGAAGGACATTTTGCAGACAAGATGGGTTAGGAGAGATAGGATGACAGGAATGAAGGGGAAACTGGAACGTGCTGCAGAAACAAATGGCTTCATGTTCCCGTCAGAAAGATAATTTTGAAACAATATTGGCTCTG